TACGTCGTTACCGTTACGTTACGTATAATTAGGTAGTAGTATTATTACTAGTCTATGTCACAGTAGCAACACTTAGTCATACAGGAAGTAATACTATACTACGTTACTTACTTACTTCTACTTACTACTTCTCTCTCTCTCTCTCTCTCTCTCTCTCTCTCTCTCTCTCTCTCTCTCTCTCTCTCTAAAACCAAAATTCCCAAATAAGAAGGAAATCCAATCAATTATCAATAGTTAAGAAATACAATTAATAGTTAAGAAATAAAATTAAGAAACACTAGAAAATAAATGTCATGTTCAAAATTAGGAAATCTGTAAAATTTAAGAAACAAAATCAAATATATATAAAATAAGAAATAAAACTATACCAATTAAATAAAATTTCAAAAACTTTTAGATAAATATTGATTTACATAAAAATTAAATAAAAAGCTTTGAATATTAATTTTTTATCGAAATTGAATACCATCAACAAGTACCTTTATATGATAAACAAATCCAACCTTTGCCCATCTCTACAGTGCAGCTTCCCTGGCATGCTCTCTCTCTCTCTCTCGTGCGTGAATATTTTAGATCTACTTTAAAATCACTAGGTGAGTATCATTGGGAAAATGATACTCAATTTAAAATTCTAAACATACTTCGATTTAGCAGCCCAAAAGTAGAGCAGTATCCATTCATTCTCCCAAAATTATTCCTTCCATGCATTAAGAATGCCTACAATTATCTTTTTTTTTCCCTCAAGTCACTAGTCACTGGGTTGAGGGAGTTAAGTCCACAGAATTTGGAATCCTACAGCTAGTAAATGGCCCATGTGCTCCTACAATGATTCTTTTCAAACGCAAATAATGATCGATTTTTGGGGATACTAAATGGAACAAGTGAGACAAGATAAAATCATGCTAACGCGTTGACACGAAACATGCGTCTTCTTAAACTTAAGCCCCTCTCTCTCTCTCTCTCTCTCTCTCTCTCTCTTTTCAACAGACATTACTATCTTTGCCCTTTGGCAGTCTATACTCGATCATAAATACATAGGTCCATGGCATTAAATCAGTAGCAACTATTCATTGCCGATGCTTTACAATGTTATAAAGCTTCCTGTGATTTCCGGACGATGCGGCTCACCTTCCTTTTAAATTCATCCCTGTGATCTCTCCATTCCTTCTGCACCAACACACAAATTAGGAACACAAGATGAGACGAAATGAACCATTAAAACTTAAAACAATTTGGTAACAAGATGTCTCACTAAGACATCCCCCTCCCCATTTATTACTGAGGAACATACCAAAAAATAGTACTCTCACATGCACAAACAAAGTTTGTTTCCTTCTTTTCCATTTCTCATGTAAGTAAAACAAAGGACTGTTGATTTACCCACCGCAGCATCAATATTTGCAGGTGATTCATCATTCGGACTTGAAAGCATTGATATAATACTCAAAAGGATTGTTTCCACCTACAGTTAGCCCAAGAACGTTTCATCACATTGAACATTTCATCACATTAACCTACATACTTCAAGGTGTAAATAGTACAAAGTGAAATGATCATCATTGCTTGTTCTCAGAGAGAGAGAGGGAGAGAGAGCTTACTGTGTGTACTGGTGACCAACGCTCACTAGCCAGTTCATAACCATTTGGATCGTCCCCAGGGGAATGAAGTATGGAGATGCAAACACGCCCATCAGGGTAAACTATGGGAAAACACATATACAACTTTTACTCATGCCATGCCAAGCTGATACAATCATAACACTACTGTATAATCAATGATCAAAGAACCATTAAAAGCATAAAGCAACGACAATCTGGGCTAGTCATAAGTAACATGCACATACTCCTACTAGGGGACTAGAAACATTATTACTGTATCAAGCAATACATTATGTGACTGAGATCCCAGAACTCATTAATACAACTTTATCAGAAAGAGTTCACAGACATGTCCTCACCATTTGGATGCCACAACTCTGAAGTAAACCTCACAGATGGAGGGCTATTTGGGTAGTTGTAGGGGAAACTCATAATTGCATTGAAACAGCCACCTTCACTGCAATGGGGGGGAGAGAGAGAGAGAGAGAGAGAGAGAGAGAGAGCTAAGGTAAAGGTTGACAAGAGATTTACTCGTTGAAAACCACCATTTCAAACAACAGAAATGCTACTAGAAACATAACTACAACATAATGGACCATTCATAAGGGTAGCTTAAATCTAGGGAACCAACACTTCAAAGTGGTGCTTGGTACCAAGTACCAAACAATTCAAAAGCATCCTGCTATGAATGATCAATAAAAAATAGATACCCTTTTTCAGCAATAGATATTATTTCTTTTTCGTTCAGTAACCCTATTTCACAAAATGTGCTCATAACCAAGCGAACATACATGCTACAGTAGTGAAATGTGATCAATTGGGTCAAGAGCAGAGAAGTAGACCACTTCCATGATAAAGAGAAGCATAGCGGAGAAAATTCACGAAACATAAAAAATGTTCTTACTGACAACTAAAGAAGAAAAACAAAACAAGACTAGAAAAAGAACAGATGTGTTGAATTCTTCCAATTCTTTTTAGACATAACGCTTAAGATCTGCATAGGCGAAGAAAGACAGAAATTAAACCCTGCTACAATAGAGAGTTATCTTATCCAAGAAAATAGAAAAGGAGAACCTTTTCTTCTATCTATGCTGCATTACTCTAGGAAGGTTTGGAGGCAGATGTGTGTGAGTGGTGTGTCCATGTGCAAGTTTTTGTTTCTAAAATGCTCCAAGTTGAATAAGTTAATTTCATAAAAATATGACTTATGTGACATTTAAATTTGATCATATCCTCATCCAAGAAAACTGGGAACAGAGATTTTCTAGATCAGAGCCCCTACTTGAGGCTCGAAGATCCGTAGAAAAAGGGAACAAGAGCAATACAGCATGAGATAAGGGGATTGAGTTCCCCCACATTAAGGGAGCACGATCTAAATTGGCCCAGGAGAGAATGCTAAACAATATGGGAATGCAATCTGTCAAACTTAGGATTGAGGATCCCAGAATTCACATAATGTACTTTGAGAACAGATGCTATTGGATGACAATTAACTTTTTCTGAATTAGAAAACTAAATTATCATTAAATACAAGAAAAGAACAGATTCTATTGAATGACAATTAATGTTTTCTGAATTAGAAAACTAAATTATTATTAGATACAAGAATCTTGTCTTTGAAAAAATTCTCTTACTTTTCTATCATTGGAGTGTGTTTCATACATGAGAAGTGAAAATTGTGCTCTCTCTCTCTCTCTCTCTCTCTCTCTCTCAGTGACAAGACTAAACTCTCTTACCTCCCCAACTGAAGGCGAACTGAAACCAGTGAAATGACAAAAAGCAAGAATAAAGTGGAAGCATTTTACAGATACCATCATTTCCTTTCAATACAGTGAAGGAACCTTTTTTCAGCTTTCGAATTCATATGATATACATCATGTGTGTGTTTTAATACACATCTGTAGGCAACAATTGTATGTTATCATGTCGGACAATGAAGATGAATCATGTTCTAGGGTGAATGAAGGTCCTTGGAACTCTAACATTAAAACGCCCTTGAGGATGGACGATCTATGCTGAGTTTTTGTTATACACGTGCACACCAGATGCAAGTTGCATATGATACTATATTTGGGATTTTCCATTTATTTGCCCACACTATTTGGAATTTAGGTTCTTGTTACTCATGGAACTATCATCATCATCATGCGAGCCTTTTCCCAACTATTTGGGATCAGCTGCACGAATCCTATTCCGCTACTCATGGAACCATGATTTTGAAAATAGGGATCTGAATCCGATTAACTTGGGATCTTAGATCCTCAATTTCGCTGACCAACATCCTCAATTTCGCAGATAAAGATCCTCAATCAAAGATCCCTTAATAAAAGAATAAAAAAAAATCCTAGAATCGAGATCCCATGTCTCAGAGCACCGGATCAAGCTTCCGGAGCGAGATCGACCCCTAGATTGGGAGATCCCAGCAACTATGCTACTTGCTAACTAAACAAAGGAAAAACTCAAAAACAACATTTTGATCTTCAGTATGTTTTTTTCTATAGAATTCAGAAAAAGTTTAGGCTAGTTTGGCTGTCAAATAAAAGAAACTTATTATACAAAAATTACAAGTATCTCAAGTAAAAATTGAAACCAATTTAGAGTTATTTCCTAATCTTTTTTCTTTTTTTGTTTGGGTGTTGTAAACGTATTTTTTTGGTAATCCCCACCCCATGCCGGCTACTCCACCATCAGTCTTCTCCAAACCCCTCACATGAAGGCATGCTCCTCTCTGCCCCCAATATTTACTCAAACCCTATCCAGTAAAATCTCCAGCAGGCCTACAGCTGTCACATTTTCCTGGTGACCTACCAGAAAATGTTAAAACTTTCTAGCAACAATATACTCTTCAACACCCCATCTTCTCTCTCTAAAAGATGTAGAAGCATTCATGATAGTCATTGATTTCCAAATTGAATATGGGTAAAAAGAATTTCTCATTCGAGTCACAAAGAGCTGCAGAGAATTTTTCCAAGTGCTGTTTAAAATGGGTGAGATTCTTACAATTTTAAGTACACGCTAAAGAAGTCAACATTTATTCCCAAATAATTTCAACCACATAAAAATTTCATAGCAACTAAGTCATAAAACCAACAGACAAAACCAATCAAAATGAAGAAAAGAAAACCCAACAAAAAATAAGACGAAAGACCTGAGCCATGTCCAGGTCTGAGATACCTTCAGGTGCAAGAGCAGGACATTCATGCTATATCTCTTCCTCATAATCTTTTTGTTCCCTCTAATACTTATCAAGAAATGGACAAGAGTCTATGGTGAGATCAGAAGCAAGGACAGAGTGAGACAGATGGTCTTCTCTCTCTTGAATTTTCTCATCCATTTGCCATGTTTTCTCTCTCCATCCAGCTCTCACTAGCATACTGTTAAAAATGGAGAATAGACAGAGAGGGGTATGAATAAGGACTAGAGTCTGCAGTGGTTGTGTGTGTGAGAGAGAGAGAATTGGGTGTTGGATTTGTGCAGGTTGAGAGAGAGAGAGAGAGAAAGAGAGAGAGAGAAGAGAGAGAGAGAGAGAGAGTAGGTGTGGTGTGTCGTACGGTACGGTACGTACGTACGTACGTACGTACGTACTAACTACGTAGTCGTAGTAGTTAGTTACTTTACGTTAAGTTACGGTTTACGTTCGTTGTTGT